TATCTATAGCACTTCCACATCTCTACACTTCTTCCCAATTGATGATACTAGTAACAAAAGACAGAGTTTTGTTGGCAGAAGCTCTCCTCCTCCGACGCTGGTGGCGAGACATTATCCACAGCAGAGATGTTGTTGATTGAATAGCAGTACTACTGCTATTCTTCAAGTCATTGCTACTGTTTACTCCTCCAATTGGTCAATCACACCAGACTCAGTCACGTAGATACCATCCAAGAACTTACGGATATCCTTGTGGCGTACGAGAGTCGATTGGTGGATGAGAGCGGCTAAAAAAAGGGAACAGGTATAGAACTGTCGCCGACCGATGAACCCTGTGCTATTATGATAATTATTATTACCAGAGCGGGAGACAAGCTCCAAGTCGGCCCCCTCAACAATGACCTCATCCTTAACATCATCGGACTTCCTCACGGAGACACCGGGCATCATGTCGACAGTACGTACGACCTTCTCACCCAAGAAGTTACGGATCTCGATAGTGGAACCGTCGTTGGTGATGTTGGAGTTGATAGGGAAATGTGCGTACACGAAACGGAGCTTGTACTGGTATCTCTGAGTAGATAATCGATAGTGAAAGGGGACCAGCAGTACAACACAGTTGTTCTTACCTGACGGACACCGGTGATCATGTTCTCGATATGGGAGCAAACAGTGCGGATGCAAGCCTTGTTCTTGGTAAGACCGAACCACATCTCGACAGTGATCTTCCTGCCATCCTCGACAAGCTTCATGTCAACAGGGATATGACGGAAAGTTCGCTCGAGCTTGCCGTACTTGCCCGAGACAACGATATGACGGGACTTAAGAGTCACCTTGACTGAAAAGAAGAAACCGGTACAGTGATTACAGAGGGCGACTACAACAGTAGAGAACTCACAAGTACTCCTATCATAATAATAACCAGAGCTCTCATACTACCCAGCCCATATTACCATCCTCAGGAATCTGAATGTCGATCTGAGAGTGGATAGTCTTCATGAGGCCTGATGCTTCTGTACCAACGCGGCTTCGGGCGCCTGATGGGGGATTTACGACATCTAATCGATCAGCTACGGGCGAGCGAGATTTACGCAGGCAGAAATTTTTCAGGTGCATCAAGATTGGGCTACGTTGATCAGTGGCAATATGTCGTCGAGCAATCTACTATGATCATACCATGATGAGCACCAATCGGGAGTTGAGTTCAATGACGTCGACCTCAGTCATTGACTCACTGACTCACTGACAATGAGTCTGAAGTAACGTTGGTATAAGTGCGATAGTAGAATCATGTCGTCAGGGCACGATATTATTGTTGAACATCTATTTAATGGATGTGATCCACTTGTCCATTAGATGCCTTCGAATTCCTTCCAATCGGACTAACACAACTCGATGGGACCCGAAAGTGAAGTCATTTCGATGATGATGGTGACACAAATTGCTACGATATGTTGTAGAGGGTCAACACAGGGAAGAAAGCGGCAGCGAAGAATCAAGAGGTATCCATAGTAGTGAGTCCCTACGACGGATCACGACCGCTTACTCTTGGACGATTTACCAGGAGATCGTGCCTTACTCGGTGATGACGCTGCATGATGTCGGCGGCTCACATTATCAGTGTTATCGGATACTCGACGATTTGTGACTTTACCGTTGCCACTATCATTATTATCATCGTGTTGATGATGCTTCACGGGTCGAGGCTCGGATACTGTTCCAAGCATACTCAAGGAACGAGATCTACGCATCCCACTAGACGCCCAGGATAACATGGCATGAACGCTCGTGACAAGCCTTCTTAGCTGAGCAACAACAACACGCAAACTTCATAG